AACACGCAGTCGGGCCAGGCCGGGGCTCCCTGTGCTTCCCGATCAGATGCCGCGCGCACCACTTCCGTCAAAATAATTAGTGTTCATTTCGGCTGCGCTGGGGGAGACCTGCGGAGACCGGTCAGTGTAAATTATAGATGTGTCTGTCCAGATGGGCTTGTTCATTCATGCATAGATTGGAGGGAATTTCATTCTTCTCAGTGCAAAACCAGTCCCTAAAAAATCCTGTACTTAATATAATTTCGTACATTTTCATCTATATTATTGTGCCCATATACTCACATATTCCATCTATGAGGCACTTGAAATTGATTTAGGGCATGTCTGGGTTATCCCCCGCTATCTTTATGAATCTTTAGGAAATGATGGACATTTCACCCAAAATAACACAGCATGATTTGTTTTCCTGTGTGTGTATGTGTGTGTGTGATGCTGGCATTCAAGTTTATTGTCAAAGACACATCCTTTACTCTGCTGGCTGGGACCTTCAGTGCATTTAAAGCAAAGCAACATGGAAATAAACAAGGTGGGTTATTAATACACTCTCTCCTCCAAATAGGCCTTTGATTGTTGACTTTGTTTCATATTTGTTTTAATGAGCAGCTAGAGGAAATACCAGGGCGTGCTGCATAATACAACAAACGAATCTGTGTCGTTGTTTAAAATACATTAGGTTAATTGACTCCCTTAAATATAACTAGGAGAGTCTGCATTTGATAGGTTTATTTACTTGCTTCAATAAAATTCTCTGTGTACACATATACAATTGGGCATTTTTCCCGAAACTAAATGAATCACCGCTGAACAAAGCCATAAAAAGCCAGCATGGTGGAGAGACTCAGCGCTCGAATGCTGAAGTGGGCGCCTGTCGACAGTCAGGAGGAGAGCAAATTCCACTGCAGTGCCCCTGATTCAGGCTTTCCAAGAAACAGGCTTCTTCGCACCTGAGCTTTCTGCCAGATAGAGGTTGATATTGGTTTAACTGCTGGCTTTGTTTTGTTATGGGTCCCAAATGGGCTCCCAGAATGATAAGAGTAGGCACACTTCCTAAGAGCCAATTTTAGGGAACCCTACTAAATGCTCAAGGTGGTGACAATCACGTGTCAGCAGCCCAGGATAGGTTTGCTGTGGGTACAACCTCTCCCTGGGAAGGAAATATTCAAACCGGGACTCCAGTGCCTGGAAATGCGAGGCTTCCTCTGGGGAAGGCAGGCTGGTACCACCACAAGCCGGTGCCCACGCGTAAAAGCTGTTGGAGGGAGGGGGGAATTTTTCTACATAAGAAGAAAAAAGCTGAGGTACCTTCAGAGTCCTACCTCCCAATTTATTTCACCGCTGTTCTTCCTCCGCTTTTCCTTTTCTTCTGGAAAATCATGTTGCTTTTCTCTACTCCTAGACAGCAAAGGCAAGAGGGAGGCCTGGAGGCCCTTTGAGTGCATTGATACCACAGAGGTCTTATAAATCAACTAAAAATCAATACATCCTATGTGGTAGTTTCTCCTTTGCAACCAGATCGCCAGGGGACAGAACTAATGCTTTTTCCCCACCACCATCCCCATTTTTCTGTCATAAAAAAAAAAAAAAAAAAATCTGCTTTAGAACGAATGGGCGAAGTTGCTGAGTAAGGATTTCAACTATCTAATTTTATTACTTTACAATTGACATACCTTCCCTCTGGAAATGTTTGCAATTAATTAATTAGCGGTAATCTTCCCCAAGGGACTAATTGAATGAATTCTCACTCTAAAAATATAGCTTAGATGTATCCAAGCTGCAAATGTGTGGATGGCTCCAGAGTGCATTTTGAAAAGTCAAGGGATCGATCTATTACAGTGAATTTGTATCACTAAATCAATCAGGCGATAAGCACAATTCTTTTCCTAACTAGGAGTTTCCCGGGTTGAAAGCAAGGTTTCTCCAAGTGAGAACTCTCGCTGGGTTTGCTAATATTTAGAATGGAGCTTGTCCTGTTTATCTCAGGCAGAGCCTGCGGTTTGCAGCTTCTTTAAGCACCTCAGGCATTCTGCAGAATCTGTAAAGAGAAAAAAAAGAAGCTGGAGACGTCCTTCTAAAGAGGTCGCTGGCTTCCCTGGCCTACCAGTCCCTGCTGCAAGGTGTCAGAGGCAAACAGGGCCCCCAGACCTTGCCTTGTCACTCTGGGCCTGGCAAGGACCCAGGGCAGAGACCTGAGTTGTCCCTAACCTCGGGGTCACACGTTCTTGCATTTCAACTAGAAAATAAAACTGAGCCCTTGGACCAAACCCCCTCCCCTCATTCCTCCGGAGAGGTGCGGCGAGGGCCTGGGAGAGCGATTTGTAAACTGTAAAGCGCAGTGACCCCGTGAGTGAAAGGCCAGGCTTTCTGAGGTTGCTGGCTTGCAAATCCGAAAGCCAGAGTTCCGCTGGCATTCCGGCAGCACGGCCATCCCTTCTGGGCCCCAGATGGCGCGGGCTGGAGGCCCTCGAGGGGAGGCTCGGGGCCTGGGGAGTGAGCCTCCCGCTGTGCGGAGTCTATGGTGCTGCAAAACTGCAGTCGCTTTCCCTATGGGGAGGGGAGGGGGCGGGCAGGCAGAGAAGGCGCACCCCTTTCCCAAGCCCCAAAGAGCTCCTTTGCCCATCAGTGCCCGCTTGAGGACCCCTAGGACGCAGGGGGGTGGTCAGACCACTAGGC